ACATGTCTTTTCTTTCTTTCTTTCTTTTTTTTAAGATCACTTTGCTAATCCAAATAAACTAAAACTCGGTACAGAAGAATATTGGAGCGGGGCAAGATTGACAAGGGAACCAAAGAGGAGGAAGTTTCAACAGCTGAAACCGGAGAGGCAGGGGAGCGGATCCCAGGCAGCACCACCGGAAGGGGAAACGTGAAATGCATTCAAGAGACTAATTTAGAGAGGTGGAATCAAGACTGATGGATGTGGGAAGCAAAGGAGAGGATGGTCTAACAGAATCCCTGGTCGATTTGACACAGATAACTGGTACCTAGATTAGGGAGAGGGGGTGTGGGAGGAGAGAAATGAAATCCCTGTCGGCATCCTGACTTTGTTAGGCATCATGTACCTGGAGGCACAGAGAGGTGGATTCAGACACCAGGAGCACAGCATCCAAGTTCAAACAGCTCAAGGGAGCGCAGAAGTGCCAGAAATACAGCAACATGGCAGAGGAGAGAGAGAGAGAGAGAGAGAGAGGGAGGGAGGGAGGGAGGGAGGGAGAGAGGGAGGGAGAGAGAGAGAGAGAGAGAGAGAGAGAGAGAGAGAGAGAGAGAGAGAGAGAGTCACGGGAGTGGGAAAATGGTCTGGAGAGAACAGAATCACAGACACGGGCAGGAGAGGCTTCTAACAGGCCTCGAGGGTCTAGTACGGAATGATGTAAGGACGGAGTCTCTTCATTTTGATTGTGTAAGCCCATTGGTGACTTCTGCCTGAGCCAGCTCAGCGGCGGGCGGAGAGGAAGGGCATCCTGTGAATGGGTGGCAGAGGCTTAGGGAGACTCCCGTGTCATTTTTCACTTTGAAAGAACTTGGCTATGAAAAACAATTACAAATACTCAATAAACTAGGAAGGAAGTGAGAAACACTGAGCGGAAAAACCAAGAACAGGATGGGCTGTGCCTCAGTGGTAGAGCACTTGCCCAGAATGCCTTGGGGTCCATCTCTAGCTGCTTCCACTGAATTGAAACAGTCCCTCCTGGAAGAGGGAGCCGCCCAGGACCCAAGAAGTGAAATTTGTGAGAATCACAAGGCCCTTGCCTGAGGTTAGATAGACGCTAAGCAATTTCTGGGTGAGAGGAGACTCTTTGGTGAAGTTGCAGCAAGTTGTGTAGGGAGGCTCACAGAAGTTGGGAGTTGTCTTCTAGGCTGGGGTGGAACTGCTCCGTGATGTATCTGCCTTTGAGTGACCTATGCTCCTTTAAGTAACCCCTGTTAAATCCATTAGCTCACCAAGCTAGACTTGGCTGGAGTCTGTCCTCCAGCTTGTCATTGCTCTTTCTATGTGTGGTGAATAGAAATAAGCTTTGTAGGAAAAGTACAGCAACCCCCGGCGGGATAAACAAACACCTAAGCAGACGGAGGAAGTCAGGTGGCTGCCTTCCACCTTGGGAGAGTTTGTATCCCGATAGCTGGAAGTATGGTTTTTGTAGGAGATGAAGCCTGGGTCCATCCGGATGAGCGACCCTCTGCACAAGCCCTGGCCCACAGAAGGTAATACAGTTAGTGTAAGAACCAACTAGAAATAATTCATTCCTTTGCGACACCACAGAAAATTTGCCTGACTTGAACTTTGGTATTAGGTGAAAGTGGGGGCCAAAAACTTCCAGGAGAATTCATACATGCAAGCCAGCACCGTGGTATGTCTTCATTCAAAATCTACCCTACCTGGACAGTTGGGGAAACCACTCACTATTTAAATTCAAGTAACCTAGACCATGCATGGTAGTATTGGGGAAAAAAAGAGAAATAAATCATCTTTAGAGGAAATCAACCCTTAACTATAGGAGATTCTCATAGTGAGTATTACAGTAAATATAGAGTCAAAAAGACATAATCAAATAGGACTTAGAGAAAAGTAAATCAACTTAGAACAATATATTCATAGAAAAATACCTTCTTAAAACGAGTCAAATGAAAAATGTAAGTCATTGCTGACTTCATTGCATACTTTCCACAGTTAGGTATTCACTAGTAGAGAAGATGGAGTGTATAGTTATACAGGTTAAGAGAAGAGGAAATGGGAGGGGAAAATACAAGAAGAAAGTAAGCAAGTAAATGAAAAGTGCACTAGAAATTGCAACACAAAGAAAGAACATAACAAGTAAAAATAAATCCAGATATAAGCATGGTTATAATAAATATAAGTGAACTAAATAATTCAATTTAAAAAGAATGACTTTCCAGACTGAACAAGATGGGGGGAAAAGGTGTCAGATACACAAAGCAAAAGGAGTGATCTTACTTGGTTCTGTTGCTTTCCCAAGAGCAGAGAGGTTTTAGCTTACCTCTAGTGAAGGAGCCAAGAAGAGTTCAAACACACAGGAAGATGGAGGAGCCAGAATCCAGAAGAGATGAAGAGCATCAGTTCCACATGCAAAGGTACAGGGACCAGCTTTGGCCTGGAGGAGAAGAGTACTGTCTCAGAGACAGAAGAAAGGAGGTGAGCAAAGAGAGTGAGTGTGTAAGCACACGAGACTTTATGTTCTCAGTCAAGGTACCGTCATCTGGAAGTAATTTGCTCATATAGCTGAATGGCTTATGATAGAGAGTGTGCTTGGAGAAAGTGGTAATGAGATGTAAAAATTCACTCTCATGGAAAAAAAAAATGAGAGGGATATCCAGGGATTCAGAAAACCAGAAAGAATGTCCAAATGGCTCTGGGAGTCTAGCAAGAATCATAAAACATAAAGAGGAACCCTAAGGGACCCTTTCGGATGGTACTATTTTTTTCTGGAAGTGTTCATCAGCCTAAGGTAGGGACAGATGAGTCCCTTGGAGCCAGAAAGGGTGGAGCTGGAGGATGAGAGCATGTGGGTGGATGGAGAGGGCAGCAGGCGAGGGAGGGCCCATCGGACAATACAGAGAACTTGCATGTGATATACCTGGTGGCTGAGGATGCAGACCGCCAGAGGGACTGTTATTTACCCCAAATGCCTAAAGACCCCCTTGGCATCCCGCAGCCTAAGTCTGTGCATAAGTGGTCCCACAGGAAGAAGCTGAGCTGTGGCATTCCTGAAGGATATGCCTTTCCAGGCTCCCCTTGCTCCTCTCCACCCAGAGGCCGGCCACGTGACTTTAGAGGCGGGCTTTCTGTCTTCAGCTCTCACCCTGACCTTGTTCCACCCCGGTGCCTCTTTGGTAAACAGGCCCTGTGCCCTCAGCCGTGATGATTCATACTTGAGTTTCTACCTGAGCATGCCCAGTGGCCAAACAGGATTGCTCTCCTGGCCATTCCCCTGTTGTTGTGAACCTCACAGTTTCTTCCTGTCTGCCTGGTGCCCTTGTTCACATGCCCTCATGACATTCCAGGCCAGAGCCCCACAGCCCTGTGGACCCGTTGCTACCACAACCTCTTTATTTCCTGGTCACCCTTCCTCAGTGCTCTGGCCACACTACCGCATACCCATGCCTCTAGAGACCATCATGCACATCAAGCTCTCTTCTCCAGAACATACAGGCTTCTTTCTTGCTCAAGACCACCAAGTTCTAAATCTAGAAGGGGATTTTAAGTCATTGTGTCTGATCTTGTTATTTTATTTTTTAGTTTTCCGGTGAGACAAGGTTTCTCTGCATAGCTGTCTATCCTAGAACTCCCTACATAGACCAGGCTGACCTCAAACTCAGGGATCTTGACTGTCTCTGCCTCTCAAGTGCTGGGACTAAAAGCATGCGCCACCACGCCTGGCTTTCATCTTGTTATTTTAGGGTGGAGAAACTGAGGCCCAGTAGAGACAAGTGTCTTGCCCAAATTGGCAGTTAATACCTCTGGCAATGAGAACTTACTGCTCATCTAGACTGGCCCCTGACACAGTCTCTGAACACCAGCTTGCCTAGGGAGATTTCCCAGATCATGTATCATTTTCACAACCACCGAGTAGTGATATCATTCAGCTCCCTGTAGAGAAGAGGAACTGAGCCCCCAGCCCAAGGTCACTCAGCAAATATTAGTCTAACCGTTTTCCTGTTGTCCTGGTTTCTCCTCCCTACCCTCCCACAACCCTAAGATCCCTCACATGAAGGTTCCCTCTCACCTGTCGGTCTAGAGTCTACCATGCTCGCCAGCAATTCCTGTTTCTCCAGGGGGTGTGCACACGGGGGTGGGGGTGGGGTTGTATGGTCAGGCTTCTGACCACAGCTGGTGGTACCAGGGCTGGCGTTTGGGGCCCAAGGAAATGCAATGTAGAGACTGGCTGAGCTTGTGAGTGTCTGAACTAAGAAGGCAAGAAAACTGAGTTACCTGGATGGTGGCAGGCGCCTGGAAGCCACGCTGGGCCAGGCTGAGCCCGTGTAGAATGAGCAAAGGCTGAAGGTGAAGGAGCCGAGACAGGGAGGCTCCCTGGGATGTGCTCACGGGTGTGTCTGCACACACACCCCCTCCAACCTCACCCTCCAGTCGGGTGGTATCTTTCCTAGTGAGGTCCTCTGAGATTTCTACGTCTCCTCATTTCAGTGTCTTTGTCCTTGAAGCCTGTGACCCAGCAGGCACACCAACTCCCATAATTCTAGCAGCTCAGGACTGACTCCTCCTCTGTGTGTTGTGTGTCTTCTCCAGGTCCTTCACACCCTGACCAGGGCAGCAGCCATTGCCTCCTCTCTCCCCGGGGTTCGGGTCTCGTTGGCTGATGCTCTCCGAGCTTTGTGGTGACATTTATTATCAGCTTTGTCAATTCCTCTATCACTGACATTTCATAGTCTAGTGATCCACGGGCAGGCTGTCATTTTTTCCTCCTTGCGTACAGACTGAAAAAGTCTGTGAGACGGGCCTCGGGCCTAGGTCCTGGGAATGAGTGGGCTTTTCAGCTCAAAACCCAGGTGGGAAAACTACGGTCCTCTAGCCAAACTTGGGTGTCATGATCCTAGCTACCCTCTCGGATACATGATGATTCGTCCCGTCGCGTTGACACGGGCTATTTCCTGTTTTCTGTTTCTCATGGTTCATACACACCCCCCCATCATCATCATCCTGGAGTCCTCTCTGCTCCTCACTCTCCCTCTTTCTGATCGTCATTCTGTGGAGAGAGAGAGAGAGACTTCATACTATTTTAGGACCCCATCACTTTTCAAAAACCTGGTGGAGAACCCTGCCAAAGCTCCGGGGCTGGGGGAGGGGAGGCTGGGCAATCTGAGCCCGGGGCAGGCTGGGTGTCTGGGAAGCCAGGTTACAACCGCCAGCTGCAAAGTTCGGGCGCAAATCGCTCCGCACCCTTGACTTCACCAGCCCACTCAGGCCCAACTCGACCCGGTCCGACCCGACAGGCCCACCTCCTCCTTGGCACGCCCAGCCGCCGTTCCTCCCCACCCGTCACTTAGGACTCTGCACACCAGGCACCATGTAAAATTGTTGTGTTTCTGGAAACACACCACACGCCGAGAAGCCTTGAAATTCTTCTTGGAACCGGTCCAGGGGTTTATTTATGAAATTCCCAGGGGGTGGGAGAGACAGAAGTCTGGACTTCGCAGACTGAGTGCTGCGCCGCCGCCGCCGTCATCCCGCCCGCCCGCCCGCATGCATACCCGCCACTCCAGCCTGCTCTTACTACAGGCCCAGCTCCGGCTGCCTGGGCCGCCAGAGAGCTGGCTCGGAGGCCCGGGACTCAGGAGAGCCAGGGGATTTGGCCTTAGTCCCGCACTCTGACCTCCCTACCTCCTCTCTGCCAGCCCCCACCTCCCTTCCCCTGCCCTCCCCACTCTTCTGTAGAGGTCTCTTTAGATCACTGGGAACACAGCTCCGCAGAAAAGAGCTGGTCTAGTGTGCAAGAGCCCTTGGTTTCCATCCTCGACCCGCCCCAGGAGGAAAACCCAACAGAAGCGCTTGTCTTAATTTCCTGCCTTCTAGGGTGATGCCAAGAGGCTCAACCCCATAGAGTGACTACCCTCCACAAATGTCACCATCCGACGCAAGGACTTAATTCACTAATCTGCCAGAGATGTAATAGACGGTTTAGGCCACGAGTACTTGCCACAGGAGTCGGGGACCCTGAAAAGTCACAGGGCACCATCCCCAAACCAGTAAAATCAAAGGACAAGACATAAAACACACTGAATACTGGTAGGACAGTACGGGGAAACGTCCTTTGAGGATGACAACCTCCCCTACCCCAAGTAACCTCGGCCTCTAACTCTGATTATTTAGAAAGCTTGCTCTGTTTGGAAAGAAGAAACCAAAAAGTTCAAGTGGCTTCACACACCTCCGGAAGTTTCCCCTCCCCTGGGAAGTCCCAGCCTGATTACACAGGATGAGTTAGGGTGGGGAGACAGGCCTGGGAATAGCCTCTCCCAGGTGGAGCGAGCGGGCAGGCGTGGGCAGGCACACCTGCCGCCAGCCTATGTGAGGTAGGAAGATCCGCTCCTGGCTGGCTGGGACAGGGTCAGCCTGCCAGGGCCTGCATTTATGCCTGTGGGAACATGTGTGTTCAAACGTGTGCAAACGTACTGATGCGTATGGGTAGGAAAGAATTGGCACAGAGATTAAGGTCCCGAACTACACCTGCGCATGCCCCGAGAGCTATCTCAGTCAGCTGTGGTTTCTGCCCAGGCTTATGGGTTAATATATTCATGGGAAAGTGTAAAAGTGAAGAAATATTTTGGGGGAACATGGTAGAGGAGAATCATGGCCTCCGGATGTAGATAGACATGGTTCAAACCTCAGATCTATAATTTGTGAGCTATGCAATTTGGGGCCCATCATTTAAGCTCCTAATCTGTAATATAGATATAATTTCTGTATTTTTTTTCTTTTGAGGCAGGGTCTCACTGTAGCCATGGTTGGCCTTGAACGCAGAGATCTGCTGCCTCTACCTTCCAAGTGCTGGGACCCAAGGAGTGCACCACCATGCTTGGTGAAATAATGATTTTTATTTTTGCATGTGAGGATAGAAGGAAATTGTCCTTTATCAGTTGCCAGAGACTGTAGAAATGACAGTTGTGCCTTCTGAGAGGCCAAGAATGCTGGTCCTGAAGTCAGGCTGCTGGTTTTAAACTTTACAATACCGCAGTCTTCCCACCCATGAGGCAGGAATAACAGAGGCCCCCGCCCCACAGGATTGTCGTGAGGCTCGCGTAGGTAGTATCCACAGCACGTTTAGTGTTCTCTAGGGCCCGAGCACCTTGCACAGAGTCAGTGTTCACACTTCTCTGGTCCTTATCCCAGGACCCAGTCCCGCTGCACAGCCCCTGTCCCAGCTTGCCCTGCCTGTGGCTTCAGGCCAGGTTTTTTCCTTACAGTAAAATCTGGTTTTTCCCCAAGCTGGTCCTTCCCAGGCGTGCTGTTGCCATGGGAACCTGCAGAGGCTGCCTCGCTCTGGGGGAGAAAGGGCTTTGTTGATGAAAGCCGAAGAATCCCACCACTGCTGTTCCAGCCACTACAATAGGGGGCTAGCTCTCACAACTCCAGAATGCAGCCAGCCACTGGGGGCCGCCTGTCTGTGGAGGTTCCCACGCACCCCACCTGCTGCCCCGTGCTCAGTGGGTCCCTAAGTGAGCAGCCGTGACTCGGTGAGCAAAATCCCCTGATTCAAACTTCTCTGCCACCATTTCTTCCCTCCTCCAGCCCACCCCCTCCTTCCCCTCCTCCTCCTTCTCCTCCATTTTGCTTTTCTTGACAAGGGGTCTCCCGTAGCCCAGGCCTCTAGCTCACGATGTAGCTAGGTAAGGCCTTGAGCTCTTACTCTTCAGTCTCCCTCTTCTGAGTGCTGGGATTGCAGGTAAGTGCCTGGCTTTCTCTGCCACCTTCCCTCCTCATTTCAAAGACAGGGCTAGTGCTGAACACCCTTGCCTCCTGGTGGGCTTGGAGCAGGGTTTCAGACTTAATCTGCTGCCCCTCTTCCCCTAGAAGACGATGACGTGTCTGCAGAGCGTGTACACTTGGCTTTGTGGGACAGATGGGCAAACTGAGGCCTCAGACGCACAAGTGAGTTCCGGAGTCCTGCAGCCAGTAAAACAGAAGCGTCATCCTTTGAAGTGTGCCATGGCCTAGAAACGCTGGGGACCACATGGAAGCAAGGTGCAGGACGGGGAGGACCCAGGAGCTGGTCTCCAGAACAGGTGTATGCCATCTAATTCCCCATTCAGAGGACAGTCTACGTCAGTGACTCTCAACCTTCCTAACGCTGTGACCCTTTAGTACACGTTGTGTTGACCCCCAACCATAAAATTATTTTGTGCTACTTCATAACTACATTTTTGCTACTGTTATGACTTGTAATGTAAATACTGTTATGCAGGGTATCTAGTATGCGATCCCTGTAAAAGGGTTGATTGAGCCCCAAGGGGGTCATGAACCACAGGTTGAGAACCACTTGTCTAAGAGGACAAAAAACCAGCCCATCTCCTCCTGTTAAAATTCCGCTCCTGAGCCGGGCGGTGGTGGCGCACGCCTTTAATCCCAGCACTCGGGAGGCAGAGCCAGGTGGATCTCTGTGAGTTTGAGGCCAGCCTGGACTA